AGTGACAGCCCTGCACAGCCGGTGTCTTGTCCCCAGCACTTCTCAGGCCCATGACACAGCCTCTGTGACCTTGACGCCAGGTGACTTCAGATGTTCTCACCTTCTGTGGGAAACATCCCCCCACACACTATAGGGGATCCTTGGTCTCACAGTGCCCCCCACCCCCAGCTCCTCCAACCCACTGCTGGAAACCACCACCAGGCTTCGCTCCGATAACAAAAAGCCCCAGTTCTCATGCTGACGGCAGCAGCGTCACTTGTAGGGCTTTCTGTTCAAAGTACAGGCTTTGATCCCAATCTCCAGGGCCTCCCCCAGGACATGACCGCCACTCCTTGCCGCTTCCCTGCCCCACAGGCCTCCTTTTCCCAGCCTTTTCCTGCCTCTCTTCTTCCCTCTGCGCCTCCCCTGCCAAGGCTGACCCCCACAGGCAGCTTTTGGCTGCTGCTGGTCTTTGTCCACCAAGACACCCTGCACCCTTGGCTCTGGCCCCCCTGCACAGGACTTGCCAGCACCTGCCGAGGGCTCAGCCTGCACTAGGTGCCAGCAGGCCGTTTGCTACCTGGCAGGGAATTCATGCCACCGCCTTTCTTACTTCCTGGGGTCCCTGTTCCCTCTGCAGGTGGCAGCCCTGCTTCTGCTGACGCAGTGACTGAGACTCATCGCTCTTTTTCCCTGTGTAAACATCGACCTTGGTTTTCTGAGTATAAATGGAACACACGGGTACATCTTAATGCTACAGAACAGTAGGGGGCACCCTCTCTGCCCCCGTGCTGTGCCCCGAGGAGTGAGGCCTAGGTCGCCTGCCTTGGCTGCTCCACTTTGCCCAACAGTCTCGCCAGCAGTCTTACCCTTTATAGCTCCAGGCTCGTCCTAGCACCTGAGCTAGCTGTGGGCCTCCCAAGACTCCCCAGCCAGTCGCCCAGGAGTGCTGGAAGCCTCCGAGGCCTTCAGAGAGCTTGACTTTCGCTTTTCTCTCAGCTGGTCAGATCCCTTCCAGTCGGCCCTAGAACCATGGTGTGGGTGAACCCTGACTCAGGCTGCTAGGCCTCCCACTGCTGTTCATATTTCCTCAAGTGCCCACTTGGTGCCCAGACCTCACCTGAGGCTGTTCTCCTTGGACACTGCGTTGGTCCTCTCATCCTTGGGTTCTTCCAGGCCTCGTCTCTGTAGCTCGGCCCTGGCTCCAGAGCCCCATCCAGCTCCTCCTTGGTGGGATTAGGCTCCCAGCACGCCATGCCTTGAGCCAGCCAGGCCCCTCTATGGACTGGGAATGGCCACATCTGAGCCAGAAGGACTCCCCTCTCTCTCTGCCGCCTGCCAGCAATGAGCAGGGATTCTGCTCTATCTCACAACCCCAACTAAGGTCTCGCCAAGTTGCCGAGGCTGGTCTCGAACCCCTGGGCTCAGGCAACCCTCTCACTTCCACCCCCCAGGGATTACAGACGTGAGCCACCGCGCCTGGCTCCTTCTCTTACTCTTGCCACATATTCACTTGGTTTTCTTTTTATTCTGAAGATCCAGGGAAGAGCATTCTCTGATAATAATGATAGCAAACACTTATGAACTCTTACCAGACAAAGCACTGTCCTAAGCACCTTATTCATATTGCTTTGCTCATCATCACAGCAGCTCTTGGAGATAGGAAACATGGTTCTCTTTGTTTTACACGAGTCAGCAGAGACACTTGCCCAGTCCTACCACAGGTGACAGCAGAGGTACTGATCAACAGCCCATGGGCCGTGCCAGTACACGGAACATAGAGTCACCATGTCAGGCATCCAGGCACTTGTGCTCCCAACTGCATGCCCTGGCCCTTGTTCTTCTAGAATCTTCTTGACGTGTGTTTCATTATCTGATCCTAACCCCCATGTATTCCCTTCTAGTCCTGGCTATCTTATCCTCTGTTGCCTTCAGCCTGGTGGCAGGGAGAAAACTAACCCAGGACACAGATTTGTCTTGGGTCATCTGCAAAGTGCACCATCCATGTGCATGTAGTTGAGTTGATTGAAAATCTTCCTAGGGACTTCTTTAAGGCCCGTTTTCTGGGTCTTCTCCCACCTGGGCCCATCTTGCTGGGTCAGCTGCTCTGTACCTGCCCCTTCTGACCCTCCCTCCTGGCCTCGCAGCCAAGCCCGTGGAGACTCTGCATCCACTGTTACAGCTGCTTGAAAGCTGGCTTCTGCTTCAGCAATGCTACAGGGTGTTTGCTAGCCTTCCGAGCCAGGTCCAGAGCTGGAGACCCAGGAAGGTCACCTTCTGAGGATGGGTTTGTAGCCTTCTGAAGGGCCTCCTGACAGTCTCAGCCTCCCCTCACTCAGCCAGCATTGAGCAGCTGGGTTATGAAGGAGGGGAACTTGCTATTTAGAAGGGAATCAGAGAGAGCTGTCAGCAGGACATAAATATTCATAGAGGGAGGTTAGAACTTGAGTCCCTAAAACCTTGATTTGTGTTCCACCGTTTAAGCCTCATTAAAAAGTGGCAAATGAAAGTGGGGATATTCACTGGAACTGCAGATAAATTGGGCTTGTTCAGATAAAGGCCCCCGACTGCCGGCTCCGCAGGCCCTGCCCAAAGCATGACAGCAGATTGGCTCAGTCACTTGTGGTTTGCCAACCTCAATTTTAAGATTTTGCTTAGCATGAGTTCCTGGTCTTGCTCTGGGGCAATTACCACTTGTTTGGGCACCTGGTAGCCTTCCAGGAGTGTTCCGGGATGGAAGTCCCCAACCGGCTCCCTCCCCAGAATGACATGCAAGATGGGGCCTGGCCAGGGAGAAAGCGAAAGGACTGAGACATCGGGTAATCTGCAGAGTGTCATGCGTGTGTATGTGTACTTGCTGCTTCTTCCAGCTTCTGTGGGCACAAGGAGGGTTTCAGAATTCAGTTGTCCCATCTATGCCTAGCCCCATTCATTGTGACTAAAAACACAAAGACTACAGCAGGCCAGGCCTAGTGGTGGACACAAAGAGGAGACAGGTGAACCACTATGCCTTCCAGGTCAGGAGCTACAGACAAGGCAGGACACATACACAAGTAGAATGGGCCAATCTGGGCTAGGCTGACCTATGGGCTACCAGTTGACACCGTCTAGGGGCCCCTAGAGTTTGGGAAGATGTTTGGACACACACAGGAGACATGGAATATACTCAGCCTCACAAAGAAAGGACTGATTTGTTTGCTAGGGGGAGGAGGGTGGAGTCCCTGCAGTGAGGACAGCAGGGAAAGCCTCGGGGAGGAGATGGAGCATCAAGAATGAAGCTTTATTTGGGAACTTAGTGCCCTGATTGTGGTTTCTACACCACAGACAGACAGCATGTCACAGTGCTGAGGGGCTGGGCCATGTATGCTGGGAGGCTGCGATGGAGGACTGCACGGTGGCCTGAAGCTGGCACCTGTTGCTGCTCTTCCTGAGCCTGGCTCCCCAGTGTCCATTCCCTGTAGTGTAGGTTCCAGGAAGGTCTTTGGCCTCCCCAGGGACATCCCCATCTCCTGACTGGGGCTGTTTCCCAGGACAGCCCTCCCTTTGGGTGCCCATTAGCAGAGAAATGACACAATTAACCAGGCAATTAACTCAGAGCTCTGCAGTTGCTCTCTCCCACAGGGCCCTGCTTGAGGAGCTGGAGTCAGCTCTGGCTGGGGCTGCAGGGAAGGAGGTGGATGATGTGTCATTTGCCAGACCTTAGGAACAGAGGACATGGCTGACCCAGAAGTGGCTGAGGTGGGCAGTGGCCAGGGAGAAGGGCAGAAAGCCCAGAGACTTGGAATGCAACCTTCCTGACACCCAGTCCCAGAAGGCTTGTCTGCGGTTCCCAAACTCTGACCAACCTTCCTGGGAGGCAGGGATTCTTACCTGTAGTCCCTGTAGGGGCGAACTCTAGAACAGAACAGGGCAGAGAACTGCTGAGACTGATAAGGAGAAGGGTGGCCCACTCTGACTCCTCAGAAAAGTCTCCATGCTCCCACTTGGTAATAGAGGTCATATTTGCCATCCCTCTAGAAATGTGAAGAGAATGATTGAGGGCAGAGATGGGGGCTCCAAGGCCCTGTGCAGCCAGCTGCTGAGGGATACAGAGCCCTGAGCCCTCCTGCCCACTGCCTAGGGGCAAGGTTACCTGGAAGCAGAGCAGGCCCGGGCCAGGGAAGTATCAGGTAACACCTGGAGACTGAGTCAGACAAGGGAGATGCACTTTCAACACCAAATGCATGAGACCAAGACCCAGGTTTGGACAACCCAGTTCAGGATTTTGCAAAACATCTTCTTACAACTCAAATATTTCCCTAAGACCACATCTTGAAACTCTAATCAAAACAAACGATACCTTAGCTATCTTGCCACAGAAGTTACAGCTACCTTGATAGGCCACATTTTTGCATAAAAACCAAGACAAATCAAAAAAAGGTGCTTTGATCTGCACTTTTTTCACTCGGTTATTTTTACTGATTTTCATAGAAAAATGTATGTTCTTACAACTTAGACTACATGACTAAGATGAAGTGTGTCAGTGAGAAAAACACCTTTGCTTTCTGGCCTCTAGATGTGTAGTTCCCCACCCCCCACATGTCTGGAGTGCTCTGGAAGCTACCTTGCTGTCTCATGACACCTTGTGTGTGCCACGTTCAGGGGTCTGGTTGCTCCTGTTGTGGGTCCAATGGGGAGTTTCTGCCAGGAAGCCAGCTGGCCTAGGGGCCACTCCTCTCTGCTCCCAACCTGTGCTTGGGCCAGAGGATGGGGACAACTGTGAACCCTGGGCGACACCCACCACTCTGTTTCTAGTGGCACTCAGGCAGTTGTCCCATGCGGCTCAGAGCTGAACCACGGGGAGGCAGAGGACAGCAAAACAGACACGTAGGGAAGGTGGGCCTGGGTGCCTTGCTCTGCAAAAATTGACGTGGGGGGACCTGTCCAGAAGGTCCAAGAAGATTCCTACAGGCTCCCCATCCCGAGCCATGTTCTGAAAGCAAAAAGGCTCTGAGCCCATCACTAACTGCGGGGTGTTTCAGATCGATGGGCTAGAGGAGAAGCTGTCCCAGTGTCGGAGAGACCTGGAGGCCGTGAACTCCAGGCTCCATGGGGTGGAGCTGAGCCCAGAGGCCAGGTATTTCTTCTGCCCAGCCCCTTCACCCTGCCCCATCCCTGCTCCCACCCCTTGTAGCTATCCTGGGTTCCCAAAGTGGACTGGGCCCCAGGCAGAGGGTTTGGGTCCCTGGCCTCTGAGCTTCAATTCCCCCGCCCCCAGTGCCTGAGCCCTTGTTCTCCTCATCCGACCTGGCATGCTGGCTGCCCCTCAGGTGGGAAAAAGAAAAGGGCTTGAGCCATACAACTCACTCCTCTTCACAGGAAGTCCCTGGAGAAGGAGAAAAGCAGCCTAATGAGCAAAGCCTCCAACTATGGTAAGTAAGTTCCCTCCAGTACCAGCCACAGCCTCCAGTCCCCAGAGCCAGGAGGGGTCAGACAGCCCAGGGATCCTGACAAGGTGGCAGGGAGCAAGGGGGTTCTTGGGGAGGGAGCCAGCCCCCAAGAGTCTGCGAAACCTGCTGTAGGCCCAGCAGCCTAGGAGAGTGGGTTTGTTCCTTTGTTCCGAGGGAGGCTGAGAGATGGCCTGTGGGTCTGTGTACTCTTCAGGATGAAGGGGTATGGCTGTAGCCAGCCCCAGAAGAGACACTCATGTCCACCTAGACTTCAGGAGTTTGCCCTCCCTACACCCGACCCCTCACCCCCTCCCAGGAAAACCCTGCAAAGAAATTGAGGGGTGGAGGGCCGACCTGTATGAGTGGAACAATGCTGCCACCTTCTGGGCACTGGGGGCAGAGCCAGGGAGAGGCCAGGCCCAGCAGATCTGGATCTGGAGGGCAGTGGTGGGCTCCCCTGCCCAGAGACCTGGGAGAACGATCTAGGGATGCTCCTCAGACTTGTCTGTTCTATTCTTCCCTGGGGTGGGGGGACCTGGCCAAGAATCAGCCCCAGGACGGTGCCGGTGGCAAGGGACCTCCCACACACCCAATGTGGACATCAAACTTTAGCACTGGGGTTCAGTCTGGCCTGCCCAGAGCTGGTCTGCAGTTGTCTCCTTCCCCCTCTCTCACAGGTAGGTGCGGGACATTAGATTCCCCCCATGTTTAGCACCACCCAGTTCAGCCCTCATAGAGTACCAACCACCTCCGTGTCACACAGAGGGAATGATAGATCCAAGTGTGACTATGGAACAGCAGGATTGGCTTGAGTTAAGATCAACTGCCTCCTGGGCAGACTGCCTCCTCTTAGCATCCCTAGTTTCTGCTCAACCAGGCACCCGGCAGAGGACAGGGACTCAGGACCCATGTGGCTCCACTTGGCACCTGCCCAACTATCAGTCTCAAGAGGTCCCAGCTATCCTCAGTTTCTAGGTGGACAGATGAGATGTCTGGAAGCATGAGCATCACAGAGCCAAACCCATAACAGGCAAGAGAACTCACCTGGTGAGGTCACACCACCTAGCTTGGCTTTCAGGTGTGTACTTTTTGGTGACCCCTCATTCACCTCATCCTCAACCTTAACCACATTTGGAGAGACATGGTTGAACAGCCTTGGGTGCTGGGACTTTCTTGGGCGGGGAGCTGTAGCCAGGAGAATGTGAGGATCTGGGCAGGTCAAGGACAAGGTCCTTTTTATAGGTGAGGAGGCAGCTGGACGGGGACAGATTTGCACTCAGCAACGTGCATAGCCACTAGCTGGAAAGGCACAGGTGGATGAGAGCAACAGATGGGCCTAAACTACCTGTCCCATCCCTTCCACCCTTTTTCCTCCCAGAGAAGGAACTCAAATTGCTTCGGCAAGAGAACCGGAAGAACATGCTGCTGTCTGTAGCCATCTTCGCCCTCCTGGCCGTTATCTATGCCTACTGGACCATGTGAACCTGAGACTCCTGCAGCCAGTACAGGCTTCCCCTCGGAAGCAGGCCCTTAAAGCCACAAGAGGACCAAGGTGTTGGGGGCATCTCTCCCCTGCCCAGGCATTCAAGCATGGCTTCCTGTCAGCCCAGCCTTTCCTGCCTCCCTGGCCTGCTGTGGGGTTTTTAGTCTCCAGAAGGATGTGGTGCTGGCTCCTCCCTTAGCCCAAGGGAAAGGCAATAAAGAACACCAGGCTGCTTCTGTCTGCTGAGTAAATGTCATAGTCTGACTGCAGCTGGGGGTGAGGGGTGCGGGACGGCAGAGGTGGCACTTAAGAATCCAGGAAGAAGGAGCTGTTCAAGGGAGAGTGCTGGCTTAGTTCAGAAAGGAGACAGAAGGGGGTGCCGGGAAGGAAGTCCCCAGTTTCAGTGGGGAATGAGATGGCAGGAAGTGCTTTCCAAGTCAAACAGTGCTGAGAGCCACTTCCAGGACTCAGGCATTGCTGAGGCTGAGAAGCGGACTTTGTCCTACCTGTCCACCCCCCTGCCCTCCAGTCAGTACCATCGCCTGTAATTATGGCAGAACAAGAAGCAGCCTGTGCAGCAAAGGGCGACTTAAGGACTTGGTCACGTGAGGATCCCAGGAGAGTGCAGAGTTAATCCATCTTCGACAGGCAGGCAAGGCTAGCGAGGTCTGCGAGTGGGCAGCAAGAGCCATGGTAATGACCAGACAGGCTTATGATGACACTGGGCCGTAAATCAGGTAGGATTTGCAGGGGTTGATGGGAGGGGCTGACACAGACATCACTGGCTGCTCCTAGCACAGCCCCCATCCCTAACTTCCAGCTTGGGGGCAAGGAGGGGAGGAGGGTGGGAGGTTGCAGCAAGACAGAGTGAGGAAGGGTTTGGGTGGTTGTGATTAAACCAATTAAATAGGCCAGGTATGGTGGTGTGTCCGTAGTCCCAGCTACTCGGGAGACTCACTTGAGCCCCAATCTTGCCACTGCACTCCAGCCTGGGCGGCAGAGCAAGGCCTTGTCAAAAAAAAAAAAAGGGAAGTGCCCAGGGAGCTAAGGCTCTGAAACATCCAGGAAGGACCCTCGGGGCCAGGGTGAGGGAGCCCAGTGAAGTGTAGATAGTCTTCAGGGAAAACCAGCACCAGCGTGAACTAACTGATGAGAGACTAGCCTGGACTGAGGGAAATGCTACCAGCATCTGGAGGTGCCCTGCCCCCAAGCACAGCCCCCTGTGTGGGCAGAACCAGGCCCCCTCAGAGGGAAGGCCGATCAGGACCAGCAAAACCATCTCTCCCTCCCTCTTTTCCCCAGTCTAGTGACACTAATTGGTCTGACGCCTCTGTTATTTTAGTCACACAGACTGATCTGGATTGTCACAGTGCCACTGTGGAGTGAGCTGTGTGATTTCTATGAGGGGGAGAGGTGCCCTCTGCCCTCCTGGAGCTGCAGCTTCATTCATTCTCCAGTCCTTGCTTCTCAGTCGCACCATTTCCTGACTCTTGCCCGGGAGCCCTGCAGAGGCCAGGAGCTGACTCTTGCCTGGGAAACCTGCTGGGGCCAGGAGCTGGGATGGCTCTGGTTAGACAAACCCTCTTTTCTCACCTCTGCTTTTGAGTAGAGCTTCCTCCCTTCACTCCAGCCCAAGCTGTTTCATCCAAGCCGGTCCCAGACCACAAAGCACAGAGGACAAACAGCAGCAGCCCCAACACAGCCACACAGGCATTAAAAATATGTTTATCTTTAATGATCCAAGATTTTGCAAGACACACTGATATACCCAGAACTGGGTGGAAATACAGCATCTCAGCAGGACTGCTGCCAGCCTGGGGGTGGGGACTGGACACCGGCTGAAGGACCCCTACAGTGGAGTCGATTCCAACCTCACAAGAGCCTCAGTGCCCTATCTCCATGGAAACTAGTCTGGCACTGGGATGGGACCCTGGGGAGCCCACGTGGATCTCTGAGAGGTATTTCCCATTAAAAACCACAGGTGCCCTCCCCCTCCCAGAGCTACTGCCCAGCTTCCCTCCTCCCCTCCGCCTCCGCCAAGATAGAGGAAATGGAGTGACCACATAAGGACAAACAGCAGACTGTACCTCCTACTGGGGAAGAAAAACAAAGGAAAGGAAAGGGTAGCAAGGAGCTACGCTGCCAGCTTGGAACTCTGCCAAGACCTGAGGGTGGCTAGCAGGCGGTGGTGACTGCCAGGGGCCTGGTGCTACCCAAACCCCAGAGGTACTCTTTACTGGTGGGGCCACTGCTGCTGGGGGAGAAAGGCATGCCTTCAAGGCTGTTTCCTGCTCTGTAGAGCTGTCCAACATTTGGATCTAAAGGGGATGGAGGCTAGGAAGGCCTGATAACCCCAGGAGAAAGGCATACCCAGTACCAAAGGCAGTGCTGCCTGGATCCCAATGTGGTGTCAGGGACATGGGGCCCACACTCCTCCTTCCCAGCCAGCTGGGACTGTCAGAGCTCTGGGCAGGGAAGAACTCTAGGGAAGGTCAGGAAGGGTTGGGGAAGGGAGGAGACAAGATCTTCAACATGGCATTAAAACAGAAAGTTCAAATAAACAAAACCTTGATTTGACAGCAGCTGCTCCTGGCCAGCTCACGACCATGGGCCTCCACCCACTCAGGGTTGGCCCAATAAAACGTTGGGCAAAGCAGGGGCATGGCTGCCCTTGGGCAGTGCATGCAACTCAGAAAAATGAGTCTACAGGATGCAGGAGAGAAACCAGAGCCCACAGCTCTGCTACTCTCTGACATGTCTCCTACAGGCCCCTCGTGCCCTGGGCAGTGACCTCAAACCTGCCTCAGAAGCAGCTGCCTTCAGGCTGAGCCCTGGCAGGGGAAAGAGTTCCCAGGCAGAAGGCATTCCAGAAGGAACGTGTGCGTGTCCTCCAAAGGCCCCAACTGAGGTCTTCAGGGGATGGAGAGGAGACCACCCACCCCGCATGGCCAGACTGCAGTGCTCCCAGTCCCTTTCAAAGAAGGGGAAGAAACTAGCCCTAGGGGCCCCCCAGTGTGGAGCATACTCTCAGGTAGCAGCAGGGCATCCTGCAGGGTAGGGCATCCCGAGGTCCTTAGGCGCTGTGCGTCTGGATGAAGGAAAGGACATCCTCCTTGGATAGCTTGTCTGGGTCCTGAGGCTTCTGGGAGTCGTGCACTCGGATACCATCCCCCCACTCCCAGAAGAGCCGGCCATAGTAGCAGATGCTAGAAAGGAAGAGAGGGAGTGAAAGGGTCAGAGGACTCACCCCCAGGGGACGTGGGACCAAGTGTTCTTGGTGGGGGGAGGTCTGTCAATGACTCCAGTTGACGGTCTTTCCTTTGGCAGCCAAAGGATACCCGGTATGCCCCAGCTCCTCCTCCCTGCCTCTCAGAACCAACTTTTCCCAATAAACAGCCATTGCTGTTAGTGCACCGAGCTTGATTCCTATAAGTCCCAATGTTCCTGATTTATCTATCTGCTTCTCTAACAGAATGTATTAGTGTGGTGACAGAAAATAAGTGTCAGTGACTAATTACAGGCATATTAGGGCTGCTGCTGAAACCTCTGACCAACAGTTTGGCAAATGGACACTGGGTCCTAACAAGGGACAGCCTAGACTTTGAGTCCGAAGGAGCAGGGCTATGGGCCCTCAGCGTGTTCTCACCAGCAGGCCAGTGTCAGAATGTCATGCAAGTGTGGCTGTCCAGGGGACGGATGCACTGCCCGGACTGGCCTTCACACCCAGGACCCCAGCTGTCACAGCAGGTCCAGGCATCACTCTAATGTCACCAAGCTCACTACCCAGGCCCAGCCACACTATCCCCACCTCTGTGGGGAGGGTGTCCTCAACAGGAACAGAACCTAACCCACGCTCAGGGGTACCCTGTGTGAGCAGCAAACAGTCTCAGGGTCCAGTGGAGGCCTGCTGGCATTCTGGCAGGCGTGCCTGGGGCTGATGAGGAGGGCAGGCTTGGAGGAGGGCTACTTACTGAAATGGGGCAATGGAGTCTGCAGGAAGGTCAAAAGTAGAACTCTTGGTTTTCTTGTTGTAGAAGAACTTCCTCTTGAAGCTTTTGCTGAATCCCATAGTCCACGGCTCTGACAGGAGAGGGGATGAAGAGTACCCATGGAGGCTAGGTCTGGCCAACAGGGGGGCGTGCCCTCTTCCACCCCTGTTCATCCTGCCTGTGCCTGCCAGCTGCCAAAATCAGGCAGGGCACAGCCTGAGAGGAAGAAGCCTTCACCACCAGTCCAAAGGGTTCTAGGTAGACGACCAAGCAAGTGACTTCTCAATGACCCCACCCAAATCCTGCTGATCCACCATCAGGGTGATATCCCCAGGGGCTTACCAGAGGATGCAGGACTCTGTTAGCCAGAGAGCACTGAATAAAAGGGCATTCAAGTAGATAGAAGCCAAGCTGGACTTCCTGGATCTGCTGCTGTCTACTGCCATGAGAATACCATGCACTTACGTACATGGTTAAGCGCCTCTCTCCTACCCTACAACCCAACTCCCAGGGCCCACCAGAGAACAGAGGCAGCTTAGGGAACACACCACCTCTGACATGCACCTCAGAGAAGTGCCACCCACCTCACAGGGAGCACTTCATAGGGAGTCAGCTCTGGCTCAGGCAAGGTCTAGGCCTATCGCCCAGGCTGAGAGAGGGTAGGGACAGGGTGGGACAGGGAACAGGCACACATCACCCACCATTCACTGTCCTGACGATGTAGAGGCCCGTGGGCACAAAGTGCCGGTCGTCACGCCCCGTGTAGCTGAGCTTCGGAGTGCCACTGGAGCCCTTGATGATCTTCATTTCTAGCCTGAAATCCCCAAGAATGTGTGCAGACAGGTGTGAGTGTGCACATGGGAGAGAAAAAGCTCTGATGTTAGCCTCTGGTTAGTATCAAAATCACGCCACTCACAGTATTTGATCCTGGTTTGACATAAGAAGAAACTGAGGCACAGAGACAAGGGAATTGCTCCAAGCCACACAGCAAGTGAGTGGCATTGCTGGGTTAGAACTCAGGTTCTAAATTCCCACTCAAGCCAGGGAGGTAGGGGAGTAACAAGTGACCTTACTGCATTACTGCTGTTTGGGGTATCTTGGGGTGACACTAGTAAGGCTGAGGTGCCATGGAAACACTGTGGTCGCTCAAGAGTTCATAGTGACTGCCTGCAATAAGCATACCCAGAATGAGACTCAGGTCTGTGAGTATGCGCTAAGGATCTCAGGAAGCATTTATGCCCCTTCTGCCCCTCCAGGCTCCATCTCTCTCTCAGCACCATGAGTGGGATTTATGGTGTTTCAAGCAGCCTGCTGCTTGGCCCCTCACAGGGACAATCGTAACTATTACAGCATCAATGAGCCTGTATTTCTGCCTGACACATGCCTGCCCTGTTCCCTCCTGACAGGGTGTTGAATCAGCTCTTGGCCGGGGGGCTCTCTTGACTGCAGTAGAGCCGCACTGAGGCAAGTGAGGTGAGGGGTAGAGGCAGCCGTGAAGACCTACTCACCACCCCACCCCCACTCCATCTCCACAAAACAACAGAGGACGGATCATGAACATGGCTGTATCCCCTTGAATTCCCCTCGAATCCTGAGCTGCACTGGTTGAGTCACTCACCTGACAAAAATCTTCTCCATTTCCTCCAGCCTGTACACCTCCTTCACCCTGCGAGCAGAGACAAAGGCTTCTTGGGGGACATTCTGATCAGGAGGCAGATGGTAGGCAGGAGGCTGCCTACCCTGTGCCTCAGACCCTTACCCTGTGCCTCAGACCCTCCCTGAAACCAGCCAGCCCACCAAGATCAAGTTTGCCCAGCCTGGCACACTGTGTCCCACTCAGACAACCCCCTGGGTTTCTGAGTGCCAAGCAGCCCCTCAAACCTACCCCAGGGTAACTGGGGAGTGTAGCTGTGGTTACAGGGAGACAGAGATGTCTCTGCCAGCATTCCTACCCCCGAGTCATCTTCCTATCACAAGAGGCCCAACACTGAGGTCCAGTCTCTGCCTACAGAGATTTCAGAGCTTCCTCCAGCCCAGTGACCTCTAACAGTCCTAAAAATCTTACCCAAAGGGAGTGGAGGACCCTCACCCAGGATGTAGGGCTCCTGTTTGATGCCCAGCCTTCACCCCTGTAAGACCCTGAACATGCTGTTGGAGCTGCTACTGGCAAAGGTTCCCAGAGACTCAGCACCCAGACTACAAGCAACAGAGGCCAGGGCCTTTCAGCCTGTCAGACTGTATACTTGGAAGTGCAGACAGAAACTCATTCTAGACTTTCACATGACATGTATAAAGGGCATTCTCAATACTAGACTTAATTTTAACTATAAAAATTTACATTAAGAGAACAATAAAAATGATTTTGGTAAAGTACAAATAGACGCCTCAGTCTCCAGACTTATGAAGCCCCAAGGAGCAGTGATAAGCAGTGACCTTTTGGTAATAACCTCAGACCTTTGCCTGCCCTGGAAAAGTTTTTTCTCCACCTACTTTCTCCCTGACTCTGTTATCTTTCTCCTCTCCCTCCTAAGGGCCTGGAACTTTCACACTATCTAATATGACAACTAACTCTGGCCTTCTACCCAAGCACTGAGGGCCCCATTCCTTCTAAAATCCTTCTCTTTTTCATGTCAGAATTTTTATTCCCTTAGCACCCTTCTTACCTGAGAAAAGGAAAAGGCCAGGTGATATGCTAATGATACTCAAGTGTGAATGAGTGATTCATGAGCATTCAGGGCATGCACATCTTCAGTGAGGACACTCTAACTGCTAGGAATGAATCTCTACTGTGGAGGTTCCTCCACTGTGCCAGAAAGGAAGAGGAAACACTCTGGGGCGAGTCACTGACCTAACACCCCCAAACAAACCATTCATCAAGGGCAATCTTTTTTTTTCCTTGAGTTGGGGGTCCCACTCATTTGCCCAGACTGGAAAGCAGTGGCAGCACGATCATGGCTCACCACAGCCTTAACCTTCTGGGTTCAGATGATCTTTCCGCCTCAGCCTTCAGAGTAGCTGGGACTACAGGTGCATGCCACCACACCAGCTAATTTTTTTTATCCTTTTCGTAGAGGTAAGGTTTCACTACATTGCCTAGAATGGTCTTGAACCCCTGGGCTCAAGCAGTCTCCTGCCTTGGCCTCCCAAGTACTGGGTTTATAGATGTGAGCTACCACACCCAGCCAGGGCAGTCTTACCTCTAAAATCAACCTTGCCTGGCCCCCTCCACTCAGCCATCCCATCCCTCAATGGACAGAAGAAGCAGGCACTGGCAAGAAAGAAGCAATGGGGAAGGGGGATTTGGGAGGCGAGAGACCATATGCTCACCTGATGGGATTCATGTCAGGCCGACTGGGCTTGGAAACGGCTTTTACAAATTTCTCAGCAAGCTGAATTCTATGAACCAAACACAGTCTCTCAGAGGCAAGCAAGGTGTCTTCACCAACACCCCTGCCCCCAGGGCGTCTTCACAGTGCCAATGAGTGGGAGAACCTCCTGAATCTGCAGCAAAACTGCTCCAAGAGGCGGTACCCATGTCCCCCAGGAAGCCCATCCCACCCCTCACTGGCACTTCACTCATGCCCAGGTACCTCTGTATCCTGACCTCTAATTTCACCATGTTGGATGGTTTTCCTAAATGATGACTTCAGCTGTGCTCAGTCCCCTCCACTAGAGTATCATCTTTAGTATCGTAAGTATTATCTTTATTGTATATGTCCTGTCACCCCAAATCTCAGACACCCAGTGCACCCACTCAGATGAACCGAATTACATGGTAACATCCAAGCACAGAATATTTTTTCAGAGGAGTCTTCCCTCTTTCCACAAGAAGAAATTTGTAGCCAATTTAACACAAATGTCATCTCAGTCTGAGCAGCTCTGGCAAAATGCAGTGTGCTGGCTTCTATGATTACTAAGGCCCAAGCCCTAGCAAACTCTGAAGTGCCAATGCCAATTTTTTCACCCAGCTCTTGGGACCAGTTAGTGGGCAGGAGAGGGAGCCTAGGTGAGGGGCCAAGTCCTGGAGGGCTATTGCCCACAGAATTGCCCTGGCCTACCCTAACCCTCCCTATCCTGGGGCCCAGGTCAGACCGCTGGTTAAAGTGCTGCTCCCGAACATCACTGCCATTCAGCACCAGGACATCGAGGATGTGGATCGCGCTAATCTTCCGCTGGGCCTTTCCCTAGAAGGACAAGTGCATTGCCCACTCTGCCAGGCATTAGCCTCTGGCCCCCGCTGCCCACCACGGCATACTGGCCTCCATCCCACCTATGGCTGGGGCAGAATAGGGCCCTAAACACAGAGTATTTCTCTTGCCTCCTTCCCAGTTGGTTTTTAGCACCAGACTGGCCTGGGCTTCTCTGCAGGGGAAGATCTGACGTTCTGGGTGATGAGCTCCCTGGGCTCTCAAACCTAATGAGGCTGCTGCTATGGTGCTCCAGCCAGGGCCTGGCTTCCCACCCTTTGCCAACTATTCCCAATGACTGTTCTAAATGACACCTCAAAGTTGGATATAACCTCAAAGTTCCTAGGAAATACTGTCTTCTTTCCCAAGGTATCCCTGGTCAAAAATTCAATCAGCTGCTAAAAAATACCTAGTAGGCCCACCAAGGTCCTCGATGCACAGAGATGATCGAGGTCTCCTCTGACACAGACTGTGCTCCGCCTCACCTGAATCTACTGTGGCTGTAAGCAACTGCTCGAGAAGGATTAATTATACAGCCTCCCCAGCCTAGGTCTTGTCAACCACCACACAATGTAACCAAGTTAACTCAGGGCAAAGGGCCAGACTCAGCTAGGCCCCAGCCCACTAGCTGCAGAGCCAAGGCCTGAGCAGAGCCATCTCTGACCTCCCCTTTCAGTTCATGCACAATTTCCACAGAGAGCAGAGTGTCCCGGGGCAGCTCTGTCTTCAGGTCCAGCTTGACCCAGCGGTCTGACTGGCGGCCATCCCACGTATAGATCTGGGACTTCTACAGGCAAAGAAAAAGGGCCCGGTCAGGCAGACATGGAGATTGAGGGGTAGGAGGCTCAATTTTCAGTGGGCAGTTATAAGCTGATGGAGTGGGATATGTCAGAAGAAAATGTCTAGAAGACATTATGTCAATTATACTCCAATGATGAAAGTGTTCTCCACTGCCTCAGCAGAAGGGAAGCAGAGATCTGGCTTGGTCCTGCGGGCAGGGAATAGCCTCAGGGCACCATTCAAAAGAGCTCAGTGGCCCTCAAAGATCCAGCTTGGCATTTGTCTAGGGTGGGTTTGGTGAAGGGTCCAGAGAGCAAAGGAGAGAGAAAGTAAAAGGAGAAAAAGTCAAAGTGTGAGAGGACACAGAAGAAGTAAATGAGGAAGAAGAGAGCAAATGATACAGAAAGACACGCCAGAGTTGAAAAAGCAATTGTTTTAACCCTATTAAGACAGAGACCTTGCCAAGGCTTTCCCTTATCTTATTTTAGATTCCAGGAGGCTCAGGGTAAGTACAGGGGGTATTTCTGCAAGACTGTGGATGGCATAGGGTGGTAGTGTTGGGCTCAAGCCAGATCAGCCCGCTGACCAGTCTGTTAGCCTGGAAAGCTCCATGTCACAAGAAAAGTGGAGTGTTGACCTCAGCAATGCACAGAATTGAAGAAACAAAATACATGAATAAATGAAAGAATGAATGAAGGACACTTGGTAAACTCAGAAGAAGAAAGGAAGTTTCAAGAAATACCTTCACTAGGGTCAAAGCCCCAGTTCTCAGTGCCAAGAGAACATGACTGAGTGTGGAAGGCAGCTGTCCAGACTGCCACAGTCAAGGGCAGTACCGCCATCCCATGCTGGGTAGGAAGCCAGGGGCAGACTTACCCCAAGGCCGATGAGGAACTTCTGCTCGCTGCCAGACACCATGCAGCGGTAATCGAACACAGGGCGGATCTTTTCCAGGGTTTTAGCGGTGAGCAGTGTGGGCTTGTAGCTGAAGATATCAATGTCTGTGCCCTGCAGTCATGGGTCAGAGAAAACACACACTGAGTGCCTGTATGGAGGTGGGAGAGGAAGGTTGGGAGAGGGAAGGGACACGAAGCACTAGCTCTCTGAAACATGTTCCCCTACATCCCTTCTTTACCTAACCATGCACCAAATGGGCTCTATTGCCATCTACTTGGAGTGTTCCTGTAGGACCTATTAGGAGAGGCTGGGAAAGGGAAGAGTACCAAATCCTTACATACAGACTGATTTGCCGGAGCTGTAAGAAAATGTCACCAGAACATAAAAGTGACCCCTTCAATAAAACTGAAGGCAAGGCTTCTCCAGCAGTCAGTTTAAAACAGTTAAGTGATCTCTCCACCCCATTCAGAAAAATGTACACATGCTATTCTTTGGAGGCCATCTTGAATCTCAGTCTCCAGTCCCAGACCCCTACAAAACCAGTACATTTGCCCGTGATCTAGGCCAGAGTCAAATGAGGCCCTGGTGAAAGCTGGAGGTTAGGTAGTAGAAAAAAAACAGGGCAAAAGCACCCTGAGGACCATCTCACCAGAAACATGACAAGGAAGCTGGAATTAGGCCAGACCTGCTGGGGGCTTCTCTGGCAGCTCCCTTCACCCTCTGACTAAGATATCCTACACTCCATGTCTCCTTGGAAGGCAAATCCCACAGGACCCTGAACTTTCCAGGGTGAGATAGCCAGCACTACCCTTTTGTGGCAGTAATGCTGAGCAAACACATCTCAAGACTACTCTTCAGTTGGCTCGATGTGCTCTTGGGAAACCCAGCACCCTAAAACAAAGCTTCCCCCCATGACAGCCTCAGCCCAGCCCCTCAGAGCCTGGGAGCAGCACTTGCACAAGCCCCCTGGAGGCCACACATCTGAGGGCCTCAATGGTACCATCCATATCTAGACAGGCCTACAGAGCTTTTTATTTTCACCAGATACAGACATACCTGGATGAGTTCAAAGAACTTAGATTTCGGGTCTGAGAAGGAAGGAGCAACTCGAGCCTGGTCTGGAATCTGAAATGAGACAGCAAAGAGCTTTGATGTTCAAATGTCATTTTGACCAAGGCCGTGTTTGAGTGTAGCAAGTGAAGGGATAGATTCAGACTGTGTACTTACATGTTCATGGGGCGGAATGGCACATAACAAAGGAGGCAGAATGAGGGGGATGGAGGTGGATAATTCAGTCACTGCTCCTTTTCAGACCCTGTGATAGCTCATCCCAAAGGCCACTTACCCTTTCTCTGGGGCTCTTTGTGGTCAATGTTGCTTCCACAGGGCCACCAGCTGCAAATGAAGCCTATCCACCACCCCTCCCACCCCCAGTCCTTTCTGACCCAGAGGCCAAGGAGGTAACTCCCAACAGTGCTGAGATGTCCACCTCCGGAATGATGTGAGGGCAGCAGACATTTTGGATGGGGGAAGACTCTGGTGACAGACTGACAGTCACTCTCATTCACCACAGCTCCCTTCCCTGGAGCAACAACGGACTGGAGAGACACTTACCCCCCAGAGTCGGAGGCACTCTTTCCGGATCTCCGCCTGCCGAGGCTCACTCAGGGTCCTGAGGAAACGAAGTCAGTGATTACAACCTCCAAGAGGCACAGAAATGTACCCCCTGTGCACCCCTCAGAAGCCCATAGAGGAGGCCTGCATGAACATGTAAGTGCACACATGGAGGCCATGCTGCCATTGGCCTAGGGTGCTTACAACACTTGCATGGCTCTCCTCTTGAAGACTGGGGCTCAGATATACATGAAATGGGATCACCTCCCCTTCCCATCACCACAGGAAAAGAGGAGACTGCCCTCCTGACCACCTGGATGCTCAATCTCCCCACCCCCTTTTCCAATCACCCATCAGCACGCTCTGGCTCCTCCTCTGTTGACACAGGTCACATTAAGCCTATTCTGATAGATGTCACTCTGCCCCACAAAGTTGAATGAGCTTATGTTCACACCCACCAGAGGTCTGCCCTGACCAGTCCTATCTCTCCTCTCTTCATCACTCTTTACTCTGTGTCCTTTGACCATTATTTATGCTACTTGTGCTGTGCCACTCTACACCCTCTGATGCACTGTTAACAACTTTTCCTGTATCCTTTTCTGAGTTTCTCTTATCTGCCCAAAGACAACATAAAATATTCAAGGGCAAGGTTCATGTCATATGCTCCTCTGCATCCTTAGGAGACCATAGCCGAGTGTGAGATAAAAGAGTAGGTGTTTGTTTATTTACTACTATATGCTTTAAAAGTCTTGAAGAAAACACATCAAGGAGAGTAGCAGTCATCTCTATGGGTGGGATTCTGGGGGAATTTTTGGTTTTTCTTTTTTCTGTAATGTAAGACTTCTATAGTGAGCATGCATTAGTTTTATAATCAGGAAGAGAAGACAGATTAAAACAAAGTAGAATTAAGAGAGGTGTTTTTGAATGTTTGTTTAAATGAAAAAAAGCAATGAGTTGGGGAAGGAGCAAAACAAGATCTTCTCCCTTGAAACAGGTGAATTCTGAAAAGGGGGCAACACTCACGTGTCTTGAACAAAGGCATGGATTTTGGCCAGAGCTTTGATCTGCAGACTACAGTGGCTAGGAGAAAAAAAAAATTATTTGATCTCGGGATTACCAAAAAAGACAGTCAAGTGACATCAGAACAGAAAAGTTAAGCCAGAACAGTGGCTATCTGTATTTGCAGGAGGGGTGGAGAGTTAAAAGAATGATCCCCCACCCCCAAGGTGGGACTTACTGAATGCTGAGGATAGAGCAGGAAAACTGAGTCACTCAACTCACAGATCCCAAGTCCTACTAAAAGGAAGGCTCTGATGCCACCCTTAAATAATCTGGAGGTTGAACAGATTCTAAACGAAGCAACAAGAACACCCAGACCCAGTTCAACTACAGACTAAACTGACTCAACCTATCCACACTAACAGTTGTCCTTTGTACTTGAGTCTCTACTATTCTTTCACACACAATGTCTGTCGTTTAATAAAAAATCATGAGGCATGTGATGAAGCAAGAAAATGTGACCCGCTGACAAGAAGTAAAATAGTTCAATGAACAAGACCCAAAGATAGCCCAAATGTAGGAATTCTCAGACAAGGCCTTTAAAGTGGAAAAGGTAGATGGCATATATAAAAAGATGTATATTTTCAGCACAGATATATAAACAATATTTTTAAAGAGCAAATAAAAATTAAAGAAATGAAGAATATATTAATGATGAATTATTATTTTGGTGAGCTTAGCAGACTGAACAAAGTAGATGAAAGAACCAGTGAACTTGAGGACAGACAGGTTAATAGAAACCCAAACTGAAACATAAGGGAAAAAAAAGTGAAAAAAAAAAAGACTATCTGAGGTCTTTGGGAAATGACAAACTGCTTAACATAAATATAACTGGAGTTCCAGAAGTAGAGGAAAGAATAAAACAAAAATATTGACAAGATAATGTCCATGAAATTTCCCAAATTGATAAATGAAATCAATCTACATATCCAAGATTAGTGAATCCCAGGCAGAATAAATACAAATAAAATAATATATAAATATATCAAAGTCAATCTGCTGAAATAAAAGATAAAATACTGAAAGTAGCCAGGAGAAAAAAGATACATGATATTCAGAAAAACAATGATAAGAATAATGACTGACTTTTCATCAGAAACAAAGGAGGCAGAGAACCATGGAATCATATCTTTAAGGTGCTAAACAAAGTGTCAACCTCAAATTCCATACCCAGTGAGAACATCCTTCAAAAATGAAAGAGAAATAAATACAGTTTTCAACAGACAAAAGCAAGGAAATATTCTCCAACAAACTTGTACTACAAAAATAGGCTAAAAGAAATTATTTAGGTTGAAAGGCAATGATTCCAAATAGAAATCTGGTTCTACAGGAGGTAATGATAAACACCAGAAAGGATAAAAATGTCAGTAAATACCAAGGATCTTTTTTTTAAAAAAAGTATATATGTGTTGTGTGTGTGTGTATGTGTACCTTTTAAATCTTTTTGAAAGACTATAAAATAAAGTAAAAATGATAACGATATAAAGTAGACTTTATATAAAAACAAAAACACAAAGGCAAAAGAACAATAATTACATAAATACTGTTGTAAGGTTCTTATGTTGTTCGTGAAGCAGCAAATATTTTTTTAGAAGGTAGACTACGATAAATTAAAGGTGCATATTGCCATCCTGAGCAAAAAATGAAACATAACACCAAAAGGTATTTAAAAACCCCAAGAGGATAAACGAATACTAAAAAAATTGAAGCCAGGCTCGGTGGCTCAGCCTGTAATCCCAGCACTTTGGGAGGCTGAGGTGAGTGGATTGCCTGAGCCTGCGGGTTCAAAACCCGCCTGGGCAACTTGGTGAGACCTCATCTCTACAATAAAACCAAAAAAAACCTAGCTGGGCGTGGTAGTACGCGCCTGTAGTTCCAGCTACCTGGAAGGCTGAGGCGGAAGGATCGCCAGAGCCCAGCAGGTCGAGGCTGCAGTGGCCGGGAACAGCCACTGCACTCCAGTCTGGGTGATAGAGTGAGACTCCAACTCAAAAAATAAATAAAAAAATAAAATTTAATTTAAAAAATTGAAATTGCCCCCTCCCAGAAAAAACAGGAAGAAAGGGACAGAGGAACAAAGAGCTGATAGGATAAATATAAATCAAACATGTAAAATAGGGGATTTAAACCCCCAAACCCAATAGTTACTCTCAATGTAAATGCACTAACCATCCCAATTTAAAAGCAGAGACTAGTCAGGCATGGTGGCTCATGCCTATAATCCCAGCACTTTGGGAGGCCCAGAAGCAGGAGAATTACTTGAGCCTAGAAGTTCAAGATCAGCTTAGGCAATATAGTGAGACTTTGTCTCTACAAAATAAATTTATTTATTTATTTATTATTTTTTTTAGTTGGAGTCTCACTCTGTCACCCAGACTGGGGTGCAGTGGCCACTCCCGGCCACTGCAGCCTCTAACTGCTGGACTCCGGCGATCCTTTCGCCTCAGCCTTCCTAGTAGCTGGAATTACAGGTGCACGCTACCACACCCGGCTAATTTTTTTGTTTATTGTAGAGATGAGGTCTCGCCAAGTTGCCCAGGTGGGTCTCAAACCCGCGGGCTTAGGCAATCCATTCACCTTGGCCTCCCAAAGTGCTGGGATTACAGGCTGAGCCACCGAGCCCAGCTTACAAAATAAATTTAAAAATTAGCCAAGTACGGTGGCACACACCTGTAGTCCCAGCTACACTCAGGAGGCTGAGGCAGAAGGATCATCTGAGACCAGGATGTCGAGAATATGGTGAGCCATGAACATACCACTGCACTCCAGCCTGGGTGACAGAGTGAGACTCTAGTTTCAAAAAAAAAAATGCAGACTTTTATTCAGGTCAGACTGGACAAAAAGGTAAGACTCAACCACTTGTTGTCTAAACAAATACATTTAAGCTGAGCACGGTGGCTCACACCTGTAATCCCAGCACTCTGGAAGGCAGAGGCAAGAGGATTACCTGAGTCCAGGAGTTCAAGACCAGCCTGGGCAACTTGGCAAGACCTTGTTTCTACAATAAATCAAAAAATTAGCCAAGTGTGGTGGTGCATGCCTGTGCCTCCAGCTACTTGGAAAGCTGAGATGGAAGGATTGCCTGAGCCCAGCAGGTGAAGACTGCAGTGGCTGGCTGTGAGTGAGCAAAAGAGTGGGCAAAAGAGTGAGACTCCTACTCAAAAAAAAAAAACAAAAAACACACTTAATAGCAAAGACAAAGACAGAAGCAGAAAAAGACAAACTATGCAACAATAAGATTAAAAAAAGCTAATGTGGCTATATCAGACAAAGACTTCAAGACAGAGTATTACTAGAGATAATATTTCATATTGATAATACTTCCTAATGCCTAATAACAAAGATTCCAAATAGATGAAGTAAATAACAGACAAACTAAAGGGAGAAATAGACAAATCAATAATCATAGTTGAAGACTTTAACAACCTTCTTAGCAATAGGCAGAATAATAAGTAGTCAAAATAATAGTTAAGTACCAGGTGTGGTGGTTCACGCCTATAATCCCAGCACTTTGGGAGGACGAGGTGAGAGGATTGCCTGAGCCCACGGGTTTGAGACAAGCCTGGGCAACTTGACAAGACCTCATCTCTACAATAAATCAAAAAGTTAGCCAGGCATGGTGGCACATACCTGTACTTCCAACCACTTGGAAGGCTGAGGTGGAAGTATCACCTGAACCCAGCAGGACGAGGCTGCGGTGGCTGGGAGCGTAACACTGTCCTCCAGCCAGGGTGACAGAGTGAGATTCCAACTCAAAAAAAAAAAAAAAAAAAAAAAAAA